TTTGCAACTTAACAAAAAAAAACAAAACAAAAAAACAAATTCAGAGAATGTGTTCTAAGAAAATTTCTTAAAATTACTTGTTTTAGGGTTATTTGAGGGCCTGTTTTAGGGTTATTCAAGGGTTTTCTAACCCTCAATCAACTTCTGCCACATGGTTTCACATGCCATGACAAGTAATGGCAGCTGGGGGCCTTCAGGTGCAGTGCAAAAACGGCACCCAACCCAATGCAAGAACTCTACAGGTAAATTAAGCCATGGAGGATGATTGTGTCATGCAAACAAACCATGGGCTTGCTGCTCCTGACAACACAGTATCCCTGCTGCTGTGGGATCCTCTGGCCCGGTTCACATGATCTCAGCATGATTAACAAGCTACCCTGAGTTAACAACCACCTTGAGACCATGTGAACCTACAGACAGTGAACTGGTTTCCTGGGCTTAGGCACCCACTCCTGTGGCATCTGGAGGTAGGGGAAGGGCCAACAATACAGCCCTCCTGTCCCTTTCCATGTATGGCCTCCCTTCACTTGTTGACTGCATAAAGGGCTTCTGTCTTCTACATCCATTGCAATATGCAGTCAAAACAATATAAACAGAACCATGCAGTGAAATTGCTTCCAAGGATCCATTTGGCTTCAGCAGCCTACTATGCCTCTCTCTCTCTCTCTCTCTCTCTCTCTCTCTCTCTCTCTCTCTCTTTTCCATGGAGTACCACTGCCTTTGAAACTGATGGAACTTTCAAAAGTAGGTTATGTTGTGAGATTGGTGGTTTGAGAGGCAGGCAGGAGAATCCTGACTCTTTTGGCATTAAAAAGTTCCACTGAACATGCTGAAGTGCTTTTTGAAATCCAGCCTCTAAATACAAGTTTCTGAAAATTAATGATACTACTGAAGGTCTTGATAAATAAATACCAATCCAGATTAATATGTTTGATGGTATAAGTGATTCAACAGCTATTTTTGATATGGGTCCAGCTTAGAGATGAGAAGATCAGGTGGGGATCCAGCTCTCTCACACACACTGGACTTATTTCCTGGACAGGACCAAGTGCAGAAAAGGAGTCGAGAGGAGAGCAAGTCCACGAATGCTGTCCGCTAGCAGCAGCTTTGCACAGAGTATGCACAACCTGCAACTCACCGGTGGGGAAGCAGAATTCGGCTTGCACAGTGGCTACGTGGGTGGTGCATGCACAAGCCAGCCCCGCAGACCCTCTTCTGCTTGCTCCCTGCCAGACGCCCGTGTGTTCACTCAGCATGAGTTGGGCTTAGGGCAGAGAGAAGGCGGATGGGAGTCTGGGGAGCTAAACCAAGAAAACCCAACAGATCCCACCCCAGTGTGGATTCCTCACACATTGCTAGTCCAGGATATGTGAAGCAGTCTTCCCCAGCCTCCTCCAGATGTGAAAAACTAGAGTGCCCAGCATAGAAAGTACCAGGTTTGGAGAAATGTCACCAGAAATAGTGGGCTCTACTCGCTTTCTGGGACAGTTTTCCTTATTTTTGGTTTGTGTTCGATGTTCAAAGAAGTGTAAATCCCTCCTGCTGGACTCTCCTCTATCTGCTTGTTAGGAAGCCCACCAGTGTAACTTTAGGGGAAAAAGGGTTGAATCCAGGCTTAGAGCAGATCCATTGAAACCCATAGGACATAAATGAGCCTTGACTGACTTAAATGCGATTGATTCCAATGGGTGTGCTCTAAGCATGATTAAGTCTGGATCCAACCCAAAGAGAGGCATAGGAGAGATTAGCAATTGCCATGCTTCTATTCTGAAGCTTGTATATTGCAATTCAACTCTTCCCCACGGCCCCTGTTGTTGCCCTTTGTCTTAAAAGAACCTAATAGTGGCAGGTTAACCTTACTATAGCAAAGTGTGTTTGTGTTCTGAGAAACTACCTCTAGTTTTAGGAAGCATTTGTCGCTTTCTTATTTATTTTATTTATCAGATTTCTATCCTGCCCACTAACCAAAATGAGTCTTAGTGCCTGTGTTGTGCTAATTATTGGGTGGTCCATACAAAAGTGCACATCCAAGAACTTGCAGAAGAAATACAGACATCAAGATTTATGTTTCTAAAGAGGAAGTGGAAAGTGGAAGGAAGGAAGGAAGGAAGGAAGGAAGGAAGGAAGGAAGGGGCTGTAGGAACATCCTTGGCCAGGTTCCCACCTTCCATCCAGTGAGGCTGCAGGGAGGAAGCCGTTTGTGCTGTTGCAGCTGCTGGGAAGCTTCAGCAAGGACAGGCAGCTTGTTCCTAACCGGCTGGTGTACCGCTCATGGGCCCCTGCATTCAGTGTGGCCTTGTGACCCGGGGGAAGACCAGATCACGAGTGATGAGTGCAGTGAGGATGCAAGTTTGCGATTAACACTGTTCTTTCACTTTTCTTATTTTATTGCTTAGCAGTCCAATGCCCAGTCCTAGGGGCTGGGGAACACAAGTGCCAGGGGGTTATTCCACTCATCCACTGTGGCAACAGGATGCCGGAATAGAGGGGCCTTCAGTGTGACACAGGTCTTCTCATGTATGCTGGACTAGGACTTGGGAGATCTGGGTTATAGTTCCCATTCAGCCATGAAGCCCGGTGGGTGACTGGGCCAGTCACTGCCCCCCAGAGGAAGCTGTCTTGAAGGGGTGTTTTGAGGAGGAAATGAAGAGGACAAGAACCTTGTAAGCTGCCTTGGATTCCTTGCAAGAGGAAGAAAGGCAGGACACAAGTGCAATATCATAACATTGATTTTCATACTCCTAAGAGCAGAGAAAACCACAATTTCACACTGTGATCTCCATATCTAATTAGGCTGGCGGTTTGTGTATGTCTTTTGCTTCCTTTTGCTGTGTGCTGCTTTTCTTTGGTTGACTGCAGTGTCGCTTCCTTGGGAAGATGTGGCGGACTTGCCTGTGGAGGGTGGAGAGGAATTAAGGAAATCCAAGGTGGAAATCCCTGCAGCTTTATCCTAAGCATGGCCTTGCTGTCATGCCATTCCACATCAGTTCCAGTTTTAAGGCTGTTCAGGGCATGAAATCAATATTTGTACATTTCAGTAAGAGACTGCTTGCTAAAAGTGAGGTCTTCTTTGTATAAGGAGGGCTTCCCTAAGGAAGCACTGATAGGCAGACACCCCAGCAATGGTGTGGTCTGAGAATGTGGCTTCCAGGACTGGAAGTCTTCTGTAGGCACCATTATTATTGGCCATTAATAGCCTCCCTTTGCTTTGTCTTCTTCCATGTTAGGCTATGGCATCCCTGCAATAGTTGGTTCGATTTTTTCAGGGAGTTATAGGAGATTTGAAAGCAGATCATAGGTCCTATTTCTGCCCCTGATCAATGAGTTTTGCAGGATTTTGCATTAACCTGCAACTTCCAATAACCTGCAAAATTAGTTGGACCAGAGGTGTCATGGGGAAGTGAGAGCAACAGTACATACAATATGAGAAGTGAAAGAGTTCTCAAGCCATTTTCAGCTTTTGTTGCAAAACTGTTTCCCAGATTAAGACTGCTTACATTTCTGGAACTAAAAATTCAGTCATAAGATGGCAAAATCCCAAATGTATTTACCATCTCAGGAACCCTGACACAACATGTAATTTCCCCTTTAATATGAAGAATTAGCTGACCTTGGAAAGAAAAAAAACATATTTAATGTAGAATAATTTTGCCTAAATCTTAACAATGAAGGCTTAAGTAAGGGACATACATTAGCATAATCTCTTACATCGATGCATTGTCCAAGCATCCTCTCAGAGAACACTCATACGAATCGCTACAGCACCTGGCATCACTAAGAAGTTACCCCTGCTGGTTGTTCTCGCTGCGTTCTCCCCCTTTTTGTATCCTTTCTACGGCCAGTTCAGGCTGTTCCAGGGCTCCAGCTAAATGAGCTGAAAGAATTCTGGATTCCTTTTAAATTTCCATTTATTTTAGAAGTGAATGCATGCCACTGATTTGGAAATGGGATATCTATTCCAATCAGTGGAGCTGTTATCCACAGGGCAAAAACTGCAGTCACCATTTTAAGTGAAGTTTGTGTGAAATATCTCCATAGCCTCAAAGATGCTGCAGCATTGCATGGAACTGAGAGTGTCTGCACCAAAAGGGAGCCCAAGCAGGCATGGGCTTAGTGCACAGGATCAGCGCTAATGCTGAACCACGAATAAGGAGGGTCTTGCCTTGCCTAGGTGTGAGGCCTAGGAGAAGTGGTGCTCCCTGCCTGTTCAGGGGCACAAAGCAAGGCAGGAGCTGGGAGTGTGCTTACTTAAAACGCTAGCTGGAGCATTCCCCCAGGGAAGGAAGCTGCTGTCCCAGGGAAGGAACTCGGTCAACTGAGGCCTCAGGAAGGCTAGCTAAGCTTGTTCTTTCTGGGGCTGCACCTCTACTGGTGGTCATCAGCAGCCATTCATTCACAGGCAAATTGCTCCCTACTTTCCAGGGAGCTCATATCTGTTGCTGCAGTCTCCTCCTGCATGGCTGGGAAATAGGAGAAACGGCAGGGGAGTCGTTCTCAGAGCCAGACAATGGGAGAGCAGTGTCCCATGACTGAGAAGGCACAGAAGGGGGTGCTGAGGAGTCCCCCTGAAGTGTGAGGACCATCTGATTCAGAATCCTCTTCAGTGTGGAGCCTCAGAAGCAGAATGCAGGGGCTGGACCTTCTCCTTCCATAATACAGCCTTCAACGGTCGCTGGCTCAGATCCAGAATGAGAACTAGGAGGGGAAGAATTGGACTACACAGCTGAACTGCCAAGGCCTGTCGACTTAGAGATAAGATGGGTGCTTGAGGAAGTTCCATGAGAAACTTGGTTAAGCATCCAGAGATGGGTGGGGGCAGACTAAATATCATCAGTCGATTTGTACACTCTCCGGTAAAAAGGACAGACCAGTTGAAAAGTGTCAGATGTTCCTGGTGATTAGCAGCAAGAAGCAACTTGAAGATAAAGTAAGCTCCTTTTGGTTTGAGAGGAAGGAGAGGTACACCATTGGGAATTGACTTCGTAACCATAAGCTGCATTTCCTTGATGGCTGTTATTCTCACTTTGCTTGCGTCTATGGTTATTGGCTTCTTCTGTACTCATGCAGAGCTAGCTTGGCTGGACAGCTTGAACACAATAAAGATCTAGTCCTTATCTGCTTGCAAGGGGGGCACAGATTAGCACATGGCATGGGGCACATGACAATCTTCGGACATGGTCATCTTGAGGACTGGCCTGTAGGTGCTCGATACACAGCAAATGTTGGAATCTGTGGTATTGTGGCTGCTGCTAAATGTTGCACAATGTTCTGCCACTGCCAAGTATGTGTTTCTGTATCCAAGGCAAGGGAAAGTTAAATATATTGTATTTGTTGTGGCTCTCTGGCTTTTGAGGAATGGCTAATGGAGCTTGCACTGGATTTCCATGTAAGCAGAGGGATGAGTCATATGTCATTCCATCCTAGATTTGCTTGCTAATGACTGTCAGTGATCACCATTTATCTCTCATATCTCCCCAGTGACCTGTTTAAATATGTGCTTGATGAAGAGTCTCCAGGGTGCGTACATGTGTGTGTTTTGATCAGTTTATTTCTAAATGGATCTTAAATAGGAAAGCTTACATGACCAACGAAAATACTGTACTGCAATCAGTAAGCATACAAACGGTTTTTGCAAACAAATATGAGGAAACAGCCATGCCTCTGCGTGTGTACCCTTGCCTTGTCTTAGTGGTACTGTAGTTCACCAAGGAAGATCTTGAGCAAGGTTCTCGATGCAAGAAAGCATAGACTAAATCTCCTTGCTTGTATCTGTTTGTAGCATCAGACCCATAAAAGTGTTATTTCCACATAGGACTGGGTTCCTTGATATAGAATCCTGAATCATTTTTATTTATTTTGTTGTATGTTGCATTAGGATTTTTGGATTAGGATTAGGAGTGAGGAAATTGCTTGACAAAATATGCACATTTGCAAAAATGCACTCAGAAACACATACAGTTTTCTAAAAGTGAGTGCAAATAATACGAACAAAAAATCATATAAATGTACATGTGAGCTAATAAAAAAATCAGAATCTGTTGTGGAATCAGGCCAGAATAAACAGCATTGGAAAAATCAGGACCTGCGTGCAATCCGGCTTGGCAGTCATCCTTAGTCTGTCCTAGAGCAATCTTAACATAAAGCTCTTAAGTCTGAGCCTTCGCTGTCCAACTGCTCAAAGTTCCAACAAACAGCAAAGATAGTAATTCTCATAATGCAGTGGAGAACTATTGCCCACAAATCCACTAAATTATTGTTGTAAACCATCCCGAGACATCTGTGATGGGACAGTATAGGAAAGTTTTAAAATAAAGACATAAAATCTGGACAGGAGTTTCCATGCTGTACAAAATGTAAAAAAAATACATTTTTCTTCCTGGCTATCAGTAAGATTCCATTCAGTTCATTCCTTTATCTCATATTCCCACTTCCTCTTGGCTCTTCCTATACCACTGTAACCCCCATGTGCAGAATGCAGAGCGGCACAATCTTTTTTTTACTCCCTGCAACATTCCCATCAATCAGCTGTATAGCTGAAAGCAGTAGGGGGAAAAGGCTCTTCTGCTTGCAGAAGGAATTTGGCTTCCCCTTGACTCCCATCAGCAATTGCATCAGCCTTGTAAGTTGGTTTTCCACAGCATGCTTGGACTTGCGCATCCATGTCTTGAATGACTGAAAGGGAATGCTGACTCTGTATACTGAGTCTCATAACCTGCAATGCTTATATTGGCAATTTAATAGCTATAATATTATAGAATTGTCTGTAACTTTCAAAAGACCTTGTCAGAATATACCATTTTTCTCCTCATGCAACAGCACCTTTGGATCTGTGCTATAGGGTATATTGAAACATCTTTAATTTTCATCTTGAACAGATGAAATATGTCCAATAAGTCCAAATGTTTTGCTGCCCAATACAAGCGACACTAGTTTTTCACAAATGTGTTTGTTTTCTTTCCTTCCTGCAAAATCCTGGAGAGTTGCAGAAGCACCAAACATAAAAAAGCAGGTTTGCCACACAGGCCAAATTAACTAGAGAGTTGAGAGGGAGACAGAAGATGCACCACGGTGGGATATGCAGCCTGCGGCTTGTATATTATTCTCCTATGGTTCTGTGATGCGCTATCCAGCAGAGTTCAAAGGGACTTGTAGAAAGGATAATTCTGGCACATCCTGCTTCTACTGCAGCCAAAGACAGAAAAAGCTGCGACCACTGAAATGCTTCCTTTCCCATAGACATGCCAGTTGATCTGATGGGTTTCGACTTGTCCCACTCATAACTCAAAGTATCCTTTAATGTTCACTAACTATGCATTAGAAAATGCTTCCTAATGGAACATGAGCAGAGGTTTCAGAGACCTTTGATAGTTTTGCTGTTGGGGGAAAAATGCACTTTTCATTTAAGGGTCTGCTTTTAGCTGGTTTGGGTCCAGGCCCATCACAGATCTCAGTCCATCTGCAAAATGTTCCACCAGCAAAAAGTTATTTCATACACACAAGGCCATCCACGATCAACACCTCTTCGGGAAGAATTTCAACAGAGCAAGAGAGGGAGGTGAGGATTACCCCAGGCATCTTTTCCTGTTCTGGTTGCATTCTCCCTGCTCTCAAGGCAACCTTGTACCAACTAGCTTGTAGGAAGGATCTGGATTATTATTTTTTCAATTTGTTTATTTTGTTTATTGTGATGTTGTTAACTTCATGCTCCTTTGGAAGGATTAGTGTCTTGAAAGCTAGCATATAAATAAATAATTGCAATAAATAATAATGACTTAAAGTATGTCTGTGGAAAGCATTTTAAATGAAGATCCCTTCTAATTGGTGTCCCCAGCCCTCAAGAAATAGCATTAGCGGGACTCTAATCAGTGACTAAGCAGAATGATGTGTCAGCTACAGCAAGATGTGGTTGAATCATCTGAATTATGTCACATGCACTGCTAGTGTATAAACAAACAAAGGGGACTCCCCATCTTAGGCAACTTGTCTGGTTGCCCATTTGACCTTGTGGTTAGGAAGTTTTGGCAAGCTTCGCATTGAATTCTGCCTTCCTGTGATCCCTTGTTCATGCTGTGGCTCTGTCAGCAGCAAAGAATAGCTATTTTCATCTGCCTGCCTTATATATGGCGGAGTATTAAACACACAGAATCCGCAGACTGAAAGGAAGCCTGTGCACTTTCTAACCCATTGCTTAAGCTAAATTGTCCTCCTTGTAAATAGGAAGCAGCATTTCACTTTGATTCTCAGTGGCTGACTGAGCACATGATGATTTTGTTCAGGGCATATCATGCATGGGGTTTTCTGTTTGCTTACTGAGCAGAAAAATTACCTGTGTATTTCATAAGTCAAAGCCACGATCTTTTTCCCACAAGATTATAATTTGCTAACTTGTAATAGGTGTTTTCTGACTGTTGTAGTATTGTGGATTGTTGTGCTGTTTGAACCCAACCATGTTAAGAAACCATGGTTTGTTAAACACAAACAGCCCAGTAACAAGCCAGTAACAAGCAATGGGTTCTCTTTTGTGGGGTTCAAGTCTTTGGACAGTCTACACTGCAAGCTAAATGTGTTTTCTTTTTCAAGTACTGTTAACTCATGGTCAAAAATGCTGTCCTAGGCTTGGGTCACTTGAGAGTCATTTAAAGCCTTGAATTAGAAGTGTATCCTGTATCTGGATGAAATTGGGCTAATTCTAGGACAACTAGGCTCATATGCGTCCTTTTTCTGGAGATTCTTTTGTGTTTACTCTCTGGCATATTTATGTCATCCCACATTCATGGATAGCAGTTCTGACTTGCCTGAGGCGTTTGGCCAGCCTGAATAGTAATTTGCAGTAGAAGAAATTGAGTGAAGAATTGCTGACATGTATTTGCATGGAAGACACCAAGTGAGTATCAGCTTATTCGTATTACTAGATGCGGGGATTTGTCTCTGTGTGTCTGTCCAGAAGATCCAGAAGCCCTTGTGCAATAGAGACAGTTGCAGTGAATCTAAGTAATTGTATATAACGTGCCTGTATGTGAACATTTTCTGGCTTGGTGCAGTGCACATGCGCATGAACACACAGAGAGAGAACTACCTTTGCAAAAAGAATGTTTCTTTCTTGTTAGATTTTTGATTAGTGTAATGAAAACCATCTTAAATTCATGTAATAACAGGTGAGCTGTCCTAAAAACTGCCAGTTTCAGATTTTGCTGCAAGCAAAAGGGTGCCATGGAGGAGAACGTTCCCTCTCCCATGTTAACTCAAATGCTAATGTGTTGTATAATCTTAAAAAGCTTGTGACTAGAAAACTAACTCTTGCAGTATCCCTCCTTTCAGTCCAGTTTAGATGGCTCTTTATCTAATGGTTTCTGTGCCAAGCAGGCAGCAGGATGATATCCAGTATGTGAGACCACAGGCAGGGAGCAGAAGAGAATCACATCCACAAGTTTAAACAGAAGAGTACTTGACTAGGTTAACACAGCATGGGTTAACACCTCGTCTGAACCCATCTCTGCTAACAAACTATGGTTTGTAACTATAAACAATCTACAAGTGTCATATGCTTGTGAATTGTGGGGTGTTTCTGGTTAACAAACCAAGGTTTGTTAGTGCAGCTAGGTTCAGACAACATGACAAGCCATGTTTCAACCCACAGTCAGTCTTCTCTGTGAGTTATCATGTTGTGTGAACCCAGATAAAAATAAGTGAACCATTTCATTCTTTATATGTTATATTGACACTTCCTTCCCAGACAACCCCCTCCTTCCATGTTAAACAACCTCAGGGAACTTCTTTCAACCTGAGGACTGAGCTCAGTGTCAGACAAGTTCTTGAGGGGCTCCTCTCCATTACAGTGGAGAGTGGGGCCAAAAGCAGTAGGGCAGAGGCCAAAATATTCACCTTTTTGAGCTCTTACGGCCTGTAACTAAGCTTTAGGAGGTGCATTTCAGTCTTTTAGATGGGACACATGCAAAAGCAGGAAAACCACCAATGATCAGGGAAAAGAGATGTGGCAGGAAAATGAGGTACAGCCACCTGGGGAATTCTGGAGGGCTTCATTTGCACACCAGGAGGGCTATTTGGCCCTTGACACTGAGCTTCCCCACCCCTGATTTAAATTATGCACATTTGGTGCCATGATGTGGTACAAGCGAGCATAAGAAGAGTCATGCTGGATCAGACCACGGTGCATTGGTCCAACATTTTGTTCACACAACAGACAGCCAGCAGCCCACAGGAACTCACAAGCAGGACATGAATGCTACAGCACCCTCCTGCCCATGTTCCCCAGTAATTAGTGTTCATAGGCGTGCTGCTTCTGATACCAGTGGTAGCATATAGCCATTGATACAGGACTAGTAGCCATTGATAGACTTCTCAATGAATTTTCCCATTCCCCTGTTAAAGCTGTCAAAATTGATAGACATCACTACAGTTACCTTTTCCAGCAGTTCCTTCTTGCTGAATGAAAGGTTTGCTCTGGTTCCTCTTCAAGCAAATTCAAGGACTGGATTTTTACCCCCTGGGAAAGCAGTGGAACCAAGGAAGGAGGGGCTCGGATGGTCAATACTCTGATTTATAGTGGGAAGAATACTGGAACCGTGGAGGTTTTCCAGGTGAAATAGCAGAGGTATAAACTACCTCAAGGAGTTAGTTCCAGAAAACAGAGGAAATTCTCCTTTTCCATTCTTGGCCTTTGCTGGTTTCTCAGCTGAAATGATTGAAGTCATATGCAAAATATAATCTGTATCACTTTCTTGAAAATACACTGTAATCATGAGTGCTACATGTTTATCCAAGTAAGATGATGCTATTTAAAGCAGGGAAGTAAAATCCTGCACAGGGTAGTGACTTGAAAGCAAATTGTCATTCCTTCTCAGATGAACATTTCTCTGGTGTGTAGCAAACCTCAGAAGAGCTCTGCTTGAAATTTACATAAGAACAAAGGAGGCTGCCTTCAAATGATTAGATTCACACAGCACAACAAGCCATCCTGGGTTACTAGCCACAGTGGGTTGTAGGGTCATCTGAAGGCAGACCAGGGTGGTTTATTTTTTTGGCAACAAGCTACCCTGACAGCTTATGGCTTGCTCAGTTCATGATGGGTTGTCCTGCCATCCAGACCTGTGAGAACACAGATGGGTTGTGAGGATCAGGTAGCAAGCTGCTCAGCACGAGGGACAAGACCCCCAGTTTCTCTTTGAGACCTCATCCCATGATGTCCAAGGAGCACTTTTGTTTATCACCCTTTAAAAAAGCATCCCCATAAAGTCATACAAATTGGTTTGTAAATTAATACTCCTCTTTTGAAAGTGCAATCTTTCCTGGTCAATTTCTTTGTATGCTTCAGTTCTCAAAGGGAGCAGAGAAGGTAACTTACATGGATATTGACAAGGTGAGACCGCATCTAGCCTGCTTTCCTCACAATTGCCAGGGGCCAGTTCCAAGCTCATAACTTCAATGGCAAGAGAAAAGTAGGTGCACTATTACGAGGAAAGGCAGTGTCTCCCACTTAGTAAGCATAATCTTCTCAATTTTAAGTGTTGAACTGACTCTTCTTTTCAGCACTTCCTCGAATATCCAGCTGTTGCAGAAAGGGGAAATAAAACCCCCAGCTCTTTATACAGCTCCTTTTGGAGTACTTACTGCTGCAGTTCCCTAAGAGCTGCCCTGCTCTGTGTCATTTCACCCTTGCCACTGTCAGTGACAGTCACCCATCCCATGTCCCCCTCCACCCCGCCCAGTGCCCAAGAAGCACTTGGAAATGAGCATCACTTTATCACCACCCTTTTAAATTTCTTTTTTCACTCCCAGAAAATAGTGCAAATGTTTTCTGCTCTGCTAACTCTGCAAATTTCCCTTTGAGTTATTTCCCAGCCTTTAAATGCATGTGGTGGTGGTGATGGCTTGCTTGTTTGCAGATTTTTTTAAAAGAACCACACTAACCTTCTGCATGCTGTACCACAGACTCACAACTCATCTCAGCAATGAGGAACATTGTGAGGCTTCTGTTTGGTCTATTTTGATGTTGACCAATTGGCTGGTGTGACTATAATTTTATCCTAGGCTACCAGACGGCAGTGTATGGATTTGTGAGATTTGCCCAATTTGCATTGCTAAAGAATATATATGGCACTCAGAAGTATGTCAGCCAGTCTTCCCCAACTTGGTGATTTTCAGAGGCATATGGACTGCAACTCCCAGAATTCCCATCCAGCAGAACCTTTGACTGGGAATTTTGGGTGTTGCAGCCCAAATGTGTCTGGAAGACTGATGATCAGCTGTATTCTATACCACAACTAGAGGCTAGTTCCGGGATAGCAGCCACATCTTCTCACCCCTTTTCTTCTCACCCAGTTTTCAAACTGCTTATTCTCCTCTTCTTGCTGCTGGATCAGAGAATACAGCTGATACTTGGTGTAGCAAACCAGGGTGAGTTTCTATGCCATTTGTATTGTGAGAGGATGTTTGTCCCTTTCTTTTGCTTGCCTTTAAATTATCAGTCAACCTAACTACTCTGGATTCTTTTGTATACAGCTGCATTTAAACAGAAAATAGGTGCTTATTATGAGCCTTTTTCCTACACCACTGAGAACACTTTCTGCTTTGGTACTTTACTTTTGTCCTTAATAGAGACATACAAAGCAGAGGAGGTGATTTCGTCTCTTCATTTTAAGTTCATCATCCTCAAATATTCAAAGCTAAGCATTGATCTAACATGAGAAAAGTGATCCCAGGGAGCTCGGAAAAGGAATGGAGCTAAAAGATGTATTATGAATTAATAAAAAAGCAGCCACTTGCCAGCTCTTTTGACATTGAGAAAGCTCTCTCACTCGCTTGCTTGTGCTCTCTCTCTCTCTCTCTCTTTCTCTCTCAAAAAAAAAAAAAAAAAGGTGGCAATAAGAATGCTATAAGGTACCATCTGAAAACCCACATGGGAAAGCTGAATGAATTTCAGTGTAAAGAACAGATCACATTTAGTCTGATCCTAACATGGTAAGAGCTCTGAGCTGACTTTTGACTTTCTTGTTTAAAAACGTAAGTAGCTCTACAGATCAGACCAATGTTTCATCTAGCCATTTTAGTATCATTATCTTTTTAACATATTCTAAAATACAACTATATCTTAGTTTCTTTTTATAAGTCTAGTAACCTTTCCAGGATTGGTAAATTCAAATGGCAAGGATGCAGTACTGTTCTGATGATCACAAGTCCCCAAACGCAAAGGCTGACACGTATCCTGTACAAAGCAGGAGGAAAAGCTGAGGCAATCTTTGCTTCTCCTGCCCTCATGCCCTTCATATTTCACTAGATGGCACTTTTTGCCCAACTGGCTGGAGTATTTGAGGGGGGAGGCTGGAAAGACCTCAAGGCAGCATGTACTCTGGCCTCTTCTGTATCCCTCCCCACCCGCCACTTGGACTACCCCCTTTCCACTCTCCAAGGTCACTTTGCCAACCTCAGAGCGGTCAGTCTGATTCTTTCCATGCCAGCTAGAAGTGGCGGTGGAATCAGTACCCTGACGTGAGCTCCGAGGTCTCTGCACTGTCTCCAGCCTTGGATCTAGCAGTCCAAGATTCCCGGTGGCCCCTCCAACTCTAAGGGCCATAGGATTGGTCTGTAAGGCAATAATTAATGCTTCCACATATGAATTCATATATCAGTACTTTAAAAATACTACAAATACTTGACAATTACTGTCAATATAGACATGTCATCCTGTTTTTACCATGTGTAATATTTAACTCTCTGCATTCCTTAATTCATCTTATCTTTACCTATATACAAGTAGAGTTTCCTATTTATAAACTCAAAAAAGCTTTCCAGTTATTTAAAAACTCCTTTCTTCCCATTTCTTGTTGGAACATATTGTTTTAATTTTCTCATTTTTGCTATTTCCCA